CCCAGTACTTCTCTCAGCGTTGTTTAGCTTTCACATGGTGATTCGTTCTGTCCAAGGTCTATCTTGTAAGGCTATTCTGAAAACAAGATCTGACAACTCAAAAGTGTACATTAACAGCTAGACTGATAATCGCCACCCTGTATATCCCTGTACTACTGAAAAGCTGATCTACAGAACACAAAACCTCTTCAGAAGCTGGTGACACATGAAAGCTGGACTCTGCAGGAAAATGGAACTGAGACATAAAATCACATTTGGGGATACTTTGGCACAGTAGGTTATATCCCACCATATGCGAATCTAAATAAGACAGGTGGATGCCATCCTAAAAAAAGGCTACAGAAAACAGAAAGGCATGGAGAGTAGAAGGAGAAAAATAGGAGATGCAGACCTGGAGTTTAATAAAAGGTACTCAGGGGACTTCAGGAAAAAAAAAACGTACTTGATGTCAGGACACATTCTTCAGCACTCTACTGAAGGGGTCAGGGGAGATTGCTTAGCTAGAGAAACTGCTGAAGAAGCTTAAGGTGATCTTCGGTATTCTCTGTACCTACTGCATTGCTGATATCCAGAGAAGAGGGTAAAAGCACAACGAGGTAACGAAGAAAAGGAGATTTTAAAGCCTGAACCAGGAGATGTTCAAGCAGTGAAATGTAACAAATAGTCCCTGCTTTAAAATGTGAGCTATTTACCTGCTGAGACTGAGGTTAGCATGATGGATAAAAAGAGCTTTAAACTAAAGGCAAAGGTTTAATTTTTATATCCTGCTTAACACCTAGAAGGAAAAAAAAATATCAGCTAAAGGGGGACAAAGCAACCAAAAACAATAATGAGAAAGAAAAACGCTAACATAATGAGAGGAATCAGGCAGATGACAAGAGACAAGGAAAAGGACTACTGGAGATACGAAATCAAATGAGATTGATGTAAAACAGTTCAACTGATTGTAAACTAAGGAAGAAGAGAATCCAGACTCCTTTTATTTGCTGTCAGAATTTTGCTGTCTTCAGATGTGAGAAAACATTTTCAGCAGTACTTATACAACTGAAATGAGTATGTCTTAAGTGCTGAAGATGTTTCTTAAAAGTAAGGTAGGATCCTAAAATCAATCAGACACTATTTTACTAAATGTATTTCTTAAGTACAATCAAATGGCTTTATTGCTTCTTGAGTGTGTGGCATATAAAGCCCCAGTGGTCTTTACACTTGCCTAAAACAAGCTTTTTTAATTAAGCACATGCATATTGGACCTTACTGTGCTTGCACACATCTGTGTACATTATGAACACATCTGTAACATATACGACTATTACTCTTTCAAAGTAACTTAACATAGACTGCAAATAACAGGAGAGCTTACACTTTCATGACAATGTAACACAACCATAAAACCACCATTTCATATCACTTTTAAGCTATAAATAAAAAACGGAATGATTTTTTTCCCAAGTGCTTGAAACACAAATCCCCAGTAGAAATATCCACTTAAGATTTACACGAATACAACTTCTGTTTCATCTTCATGCTAAAATCACAATTTTTCATCTCCTCTGGACATCCACAAATCCCTATCCAATCACTGTGAGATAATATGGTAAAAATCTTCAGCAGAAAATTAAGCTTTTGTGAAGAAACTTGTCTTCATTTTCCCAAGTACTAAAAACATTTTAAAACCCAGATTAAAGCTACATGAAATGGTTACATCTTCCAAATATATTTAATACTTCTAATTAATTCAGTTACATGCATATATTTATAACTTGCTTTCGAATTGTAATAAACTGAATCTCTAACATACCACAACTGAAGAATCTTTGAAGCATATACTGTGAGAAATGATACAAAGATAACAGATATAGTATTGCAAATATGTATTTGCATATAAAATAGATCAGGATAACATTATACTAAATTATATAGTATTATTACAGCAAAAAATCTATTACTTTTTTCAGCTACTAGCCCAGCAAGCTTGACATGGGAAATGAATATCAATCTGTATTTCTTCCTTCCTCATTTTCATTCCTAGAACCTACAATAAAGTCTCCTTGTCAAATCTCAGTAGCAGCTATAAAACTTGTTGCTTTCAGTGGCTTTACAAGGTATTTATAACTGACTGTGCTTTTATAAGTAGTTAGACCTTAATGTGCAATTCTACTTATAGACGTGAATTGTGTATTTGTATTTGTGAAGAATTTTTAGTATTTATTTCAAAAATCCAACCTCTTTACTAAAACTTCTAAATAATAAAACCGTAAAATAAGTTTTCACTAATTTAGTCTAATCTGTCTTTGGAGAAATGCAGAGCAGACCCACTGCATAAAAACTGAGCCATCTTAATTTGTCCTTGTTAGCGTAGAATCACTCAGGAATTTCAGGACGTTGACTTAGTTTTCTCTTACAGGTATTTAGTGTAACACTAAAAATCAATAAAACATCTTAACTGTAAGAAAATACGATTTTTAACCTGAGTCTTATGGCACATTATGCAAGTACAGTATTATTTTCATTACTTTGTTTTAGAAATAGATATTGTTAAGATAATGCAGGTGTTTCACCATTGTAAAGGTCTTCTAACATGTCTTGGAAGTGGAAACGCAATCAGAAAGATTTGGAACAACCTAAAAGTTAATGAATTTAAATGATGAATATATATAAGCACAGAATTCCCAATGTGAGGTGATAAACTATCTAAAAAACACGAGACAGCAATAGTAATAGCCTCATTAGGTCTTCAATCTGTTTGCCTTGCTTAGGTCAGTTTTTTTGTGGCACTCAAAAGTAGTACGGGTGTACTGTACTGCTTGTGCATTTGAATGTTTACTATATGTGAGTGTTATTTGTTAACGAAATGTCTGTTCCAAAACAACACTGCATTTCAGAATATGCTGTCATCTGAATTTTTTCTTAAAAGGAAAAGCCTTTTAAATTTGCTGTAACAACAGAGATGTAGCTTCTATCTAGAAAACGGTATCAAACTTTTAAATTAGTTTAAAGGAATAATTTCAAATATTCTAATTTTTGTTTCTACATCCTGAGATTATAATAATGACCACCTTGAAGGTCTCAGTGTTTTGCAATGCCCCTTAGAGAGGCTTAAAGTCTAGTCTGTAGCAGCTATGAGTTTTATGCAAAGACACAAACAGTTATCAGACAGTCTAATTGTTCTCAGCTGAAGAACCTCGTGTAACAGATCAACATCATGAAGAGTAATTTAGTATCTTTATTGCTCAAGGGTTGCAAACTACTTCTACTTGTGGAGATAAAAAGTATTCATAGCATTTTAGTCTGTCTTTAGAATTGTATTTTCAGTTGTTTTTACAGTAAAACTTTATGAGCTTAGAAAATGAAGTACACATTCAGCTCTGGTACAATTCTGGCCTGCGATGACTTAAATAATTTACGTATAACCTGATCTGATGAGTGTGAACACTTTATAAAAATATGAAAACTGTTTTTATGATGCTGGTCCTGAACAACAAAATCCTAGATCTGCCAAAGTTGCCATTAGTTAGAGCCAGATTTTCAGACGAGACGTTCTAGAACTGCTGAGAGAATTACCAAGTAGATGAACAGATTTTTCTTTGTGCACCCACTTCCCAGGAAAATACAATTTTTTTGTCCTTATCCCTTCTCAGGAAGGATAAGGAGAACGCGCCTCTTGGTGACAGCAAAACAAAAATCCAAAACTGAAAGTGAGAAAAGGAAGAAGAAAAGAAAATAAGGAAAAAAATTAAATCTTAAAAGCCTGCAAGGTGCAACATGTTGATGGACACTGTGCCAGATTAAGAGGTATACTTGTAATATGGGGCTCGGCAACTTCACTAGAATATCCATTTTAAAAATTATGGCAACCTAGTAGCAATAAGAAGAGAACAAGCTGAGAAATAGGAACATTCAGGAAGATTAATCAATTAGAGCCACTTTGGAGGCAGCTGACACATAATCTGACACTTCCCACTTTCCATTTAGCTTGGAATAGGCTGATGTCTGAAACTACAGCTCTACTTACCTACTTGTTTTAGAAAGAAATCTGTACCTAAATTATGCAACACAGAATCCTCACTTTTATAACTTCACACATACAGTATGGAAAAGGAAGCATTATTTTCCCACAGAAATCACAGAATACTGAAAAAGTGAAAGATGTTAATTAAAGTGTTTGAAAACCAAAGGAATCGCTCTAAACACAGTTTTATAAAGAGACTGCAATCTTCTAAATTAGAAGAAAAACGATATGCACCTATTTTAAGAATGTGAATCTGCCCCAAACACCTGCAGTGCTATTCACGCCCGCCCAGACAGACCTGTGCCACAAAACCCACTTCCAAAAATTTGACGTTTCTAAAAGATTTTTTTTTCTTTAAAGAGGAAATATATCAAAAGAAAAGAAACACAAAACTAATCTTCTAGACAAAGAACAGGAAGAAAACTGTCACGTTCTCTGGTTTACATTTATAACAGGACCCTATCTAGAGATTAGAATAGTTTCAAATCTATTGTAGTTGAGGATATGATGTCATCATTTAAGGGACGCAGATAATTTAGTCCACAACATCTATTCCTACCAACAAAAGAAAGCAAAAGGGGGATGCAGAATACTTTCATACCCCACTCTTCTGGATTATTCCTATTTTACATGGATTCATCATCCATGTAAGAACATATATATAGTCTTTTTATTTTTTCCCCAAAGCCATCTGCTGGTTTAACTTTTGTAAAAGCACAAATGATTTCAATTCCATTAGATGCACACATCAGACTGGCTGATTTTCTCTTTCTCTTGGCAATTTCTGAATTTTCTGTAAAGCTTATTTTTAAAATACTGAATATGATACTTAACACACTCCGTTCACATGACATTACAGCATTTTTCATTACTGATTAATGAAAAACCTGGGAATTTGCTACAGAAAAGCTGAAGAGACTATTGGGTTTGCCAAAAATAAAGTAATAATCAACACAGAAAATATTCAAAGTCAATTAATTAGTCTTCTTACCTTGTTCTTTTATCTGACGAATTTGCTTCACAGTTTCTTTCAAGATTGCACATTTGTCAGGTTTAAAGTTAAAGTTGTCAATATCATTAAAATTTGCAAAAATCAGCTCTGCAAGTTCTTCTATGTATTTATTCTCTTGCTCACGATTGCGTTTCTCAGTGCTTCTTTTAGGACTGAAAAAGAAGTTTATAAAAATGTTGTATTTAATGTCAGTTTGCTTGCCTTCTGGCCAGCTCAAAGATTATTTCAAATAGTTTGAGAGTAGTTTAACAAAAACAGAGAGAACTGCCCTCTCTCACTTCAAAAAATATAACTTACAAGTTTCTCAAGCAGAAAGGTTTCCTCTGGAACAAGGAAAGAAGCATTAAAAAAGACGTTATTTATTTTTTCCCAGCAGTCATGTTTTTGTTTCAAAAGAGGTTTGGGATTTGAAATTCAACACAGAGGATTAACTGGGGGGGGTGGGATTTGAACATTTACAAGTATCCCTCCACATGGCATTGAGAATCCAAGGAGTATCATATAGTAACAGCGTATGAGAAAATAAAACAGCTTAAAAACTTAAACCGAACAATCCATACTCCCTGCCTCCTTCTGAAATTACAAGACAGTCATAAGAAAAAATGCTGAATGAGTGGTTATGCTTTAAAATTTATTTGTGTTGGTAATGCAAATGCTATAAAACTGAAAAATGTTTTTCAAGTCCCTGATTATGATGTACAAGAGAGGTGGTAAAAAAAATCTTAGACTGTCAGATGAGTGACTGAAGACTCCTTGCAGTGATTAGCCAAAAAACATTTTTTACATAGCTCCTATATTGTCACCAAAATTCTGTATTTTGGCACTACACTGGATTCAAAACAAACTAATAATAAAAGACAATACCCCCTGCCCCCATCCCAAACCCACAACAACACAGAATTACTGAATCAGAGTAGTTTGGTACTGACTTCTCTTTGGGAAAATGGCAAGTGTGTCATTTTCTAACTGAAAAATATGTGCACATGTAAGAGTTTTTTTAAGTCTTTCGACGTCTTCAGGTATAAATAGTCTAACCTGGGTCCAAGCTGATCAGGATCCTTGCGTTTTCTTGACTCTGCCCTGGATGGGTCAGAGGTATTTTCTCCCATCCCACTCATCTTGAACACATATCAGCAACTAAAAGGAAGAAAGTGCAAGAAAGGGTTATGGTGGAAAAGTCATGAGTTCTTTGTTCATATTTCTAATTGTCTTGTTCCATGCTCAACTCAGGTTTTACTTGGCAATTCTTTCATTTGAAATAGGGTTTGTTTGAAAGGTACCAATAAAAATACTGTGTTTATGACCACACAAAATGTTATACAAAACTCCTTCAGAATCAAATTTGTGGTGGGCGAGCAAAGTGTCATTGCTTTGATTGTTACCAGTTATGTATGAACAGATAAGTACGTTTCGTGCCGGGGTTGCTGAATTTTCATGGCAATTTTGTAAGGTTGAATGAGGAAAGATAAAGGGAAAGCCATAGCGCCAGATGACAAGAAAAACACAACAGAACTGAAATACATGAAATGAAACATGTACCCCAGCTACATGAGAAGGTAGCACATGCAGCTTTAGTTAAAAATCAGAAGATAATGCTTGCACAAGTACACGTACAGTATCAGAGAAACAGAACACTAGAGATCACTGAGGAACTGGTAAATATTTTGTACATATAATCTACCTCATAAGGAAAATAACTTGCCAAGCTATCTGTGTTAAAACAACACAAGCTTATTACAGTTTGTGCAATAAACAGCCCATGGAAATCCTGCCCTGCTCCTGGCCGTCTGTTGTCCTATGCACCATAGGAGCACATGAAACTCGCCTGCCCCAGATGACATACCCCTCAATAAGTACGAATATTCTAGAGGCAGAAAACACTATTACAAAGGGCATAGGGGGATGATGTAAATGATCAAAAAGCTCATGCAATGCAGGGCGATGCTAGCTCACCATCTGCCTGGTTGCTGCCAGTTTTGTAAGGATGGTGGCAGAGAGATGTTGCCAGACATTTCAGGGAGCTCCTGTATTGTTTGGGATTAGCAGAAAAATAAACATGAGGGCCCTGAAGGAGGTGAGTGTCTCCAGGAGGTGATTCATACCATGCTAAAATAAGAGCTGGAGCCCATAATTGCATGATCACTTCACACCGGCATAAAATGGAAATCTTGGTCTGGTATTAAAACAAGGGGGTCCACCAGCTCCTCCAAGCCTTTCATTTCTGCCGCAGCAGTTCCCTTCCCTCTGCTGGCCCCATCAGCCATGCACTGAACTCCATGAGGAAACTGCTGTGGGTTAAAACTGTGGTCCCCTTCTCATTTACTTTTTGTTTTTGACACTGCGTAAAATCTAGCAGCCACAGCTTGTGTTGGTAATAGGATGTTCACACTGGAAATCTTAGTTTTCCCAATGAACTGGCTGAATGAAGACAGGGGCAGAAACAGCCTGGAGACTGAGATCTAAGCAGTTCTGCAGGGATGCTGAGAAAGGTTACTTATTGAAACTGGAGCAAGCAAACAAAGGCTTGGAGCTGCCTCAGATTCAGAACCGAACACCATCTAACATTTTTCTGAATACAAAAACCCCAAAACACCAGGAATAAAAACTCCTTTCTTTGTAGTCAAAATATTTTCTTTTTAATCAGGTTGAGGAGAAAGTGGAGCAATTTCCTTTTTTGAGATACTGGTCAAGTTTCATGAAAAACACTAGATCATGCCTGAAATATATAGCTCCCAGCTGGTCTTTGACATGCATGGTATCAGATCCTATTTGAAAAATACCTGGCTTATCTTTTTATCAATTATGTCTATACATGCATATGTATATCTACATGTACATATATACTGCCAACGTTTTGAGAACAACCCACTTCATCAAGAGCAAGAAGGCCCTGGTTATGCAGCAGAGCAGAGCTGAGCTCTCAAACTGAAGATGTACCATCACAAACTCCATCACGCTGTACTTGCTGGGGAACTCCCAGCGACCCCAGTCAGGGCATTCACAGCGCCACACCAAAGCCAACCTTACTGCAGAGAGTGAAATATCTACCGCAGTCTCCAGCGTGGACTGTGACACTGGCTGCTCCTGAACAACTACATGTCTTCACTGATTTCTAGCCCCAGCAGTCATTCACGTCCTAATTTATCTAGATACAAAAGTAGAAATATACATTCGTCTAACTGGTTAGGAGCTAAGCACTTTTTTGAAAATATGCAATTTCACAAATATCCCAAGTAGAGCTCCAAGGAAGGAGCGAGATACTATTAAGAAAACTGTGATGATAATTAAAGAGAAGTTGTGAGGAGACAGCAGTTCCACGTCTCTTGTCAGTGGAGAGCTGGAACTGTCCTTGGGGCTCTGTCCCAATGACTAAATTTTTCACTGACCAGGGTGAGAAAAAAATCATCAGCATGATGAAAGCTGTACATTCCTGAGATCATCTGATCTCTGAGCCAGACTCAGATGGTGACCTAAAGTTCAGAAGAAAAATTAGGCTGGGGAATCCCATCGTTTCTTATGCTTCCCAAGTAATATCTGAGAAATGTAAATCGGTTAACTATTTTTCTTGAGAAAAGCAAGCACAATAATTGACGAAAACCTGTCAAACATTCAACAGTCATCTTCTCCCCCAAAAGTAGTAAGAATTGAAGTCAGAGGTAAGCATTTAGGGGGAACATCCCCCTCCACTCCCCTTTCCTCCCCAAGAAAGCAAATAGAAATAGTTATTGTCAGTTTTCCCACCTACTCGCTCAGGCTTGCTTCAAAGGTAAGTTTATTTTTGCAGGAACCAAAGTTTCACCTGTAGCTCCACCAATGCATAGCTCAATTCTTCTTGCATTCACACTGATGCTATTCCACTAGGAATACCAACTAGGTCTATAGTATCAGCCTTCAGATAACACATTAAACTAACCTCCTACCATAAACATCTAAACTTCATCCTTCTGTATTTAAGGGAACAAAAGTGGTAGCATTATTATGAAACTGGCACCTTCTTCTCTCCTTATTAAACATAGTAAATGGTTTTAAACAATTTTTTTTTTTAAATTTTGTTTGCACTTACAGGCCATTACATCTTTTTCTCAGCAGCATTATCAGTTTGTTCTTAGAATGAGTTACCCATTTCTTTTTACTCATCATCAAGTTTTTCTGGAAATCTACCACCTACTACTATTTTAGCTTCTGCTCTCCCCTATGTCTTCATTAAATATCATGTGCTATACCTCCAAGATCTGTATAGGCTCTGCAGCTCCTGTGTTGTCGGTGCCTGTGCTCCAGAGCAGAATGCAAAATCCAGAGTTAGGTGCCCTGGAAAGTGAAGAGCTAGACAGACGATACTAAGGCAATCTAAAAAATCTCACAGGTCAAAATGAAAGTCACTCAGCAGTATCTAGTACATAGTACTAAAATCAAAAGGATGTGCCCCCAAACCCTATCTCCCTAGGGATTTTAGGGGCTGACTGGGATAGGTGAAGTTCCGCTGTTCTCTTGGGATTCAGAAACTAAAATCCTCTCCCGAGTTAGGAGAAATGAGGAGGAATTACCTTTTAGAAGACGTGGATAGATACGCTGCTGCCCTGCTCTTTCATAATACTACGTACCAACTGAAACAGCCAGAAACTGGGAGATGTAGATTCAGTTCCCTCTTCGCAGAGGGCTTTCAAGCCTGTATTTTTCATCACGCAGGACAGCCTCCTAGGTGGTAGGCTATCTGCTTGCCAAAACTGGACAATTATGAAGCCAAAATGGCAAGGTTAATTAGCTCTTGCAGTGTAGGAGGAATCTTTAGGTGTGTAGCCCGTACCACTAAACTCACGTGTAAGTAGTTCAAACACTGTCCTAAGACACAAGGGATTGAGGTTTGCACCCCCTTAGGCTGAGGAGGGTACCAAACCTGTATCTCCCATTTCTCAGCAATGACTCTAATATGCCAAATAGAGTCAAAGAGGTGAGCACCCTCCCAGTTTCCTCATGTCTTTTTAAAAGAAAGCAGCTATTTCATTTTTTTTCCATGAGCTAATTCACATTTAAGACCTATGCATACTACTAGATTAAGATCTCTGGAGGGTCTTGGCACAAATGTAATGCAACATAAGCAAGGAACTAAACCCACATTTTTCAGAAGAAAGTACTTCTGAGCACATGTAGTACCAAAGAGCAGCCACCTAGGAAACTTTCAAGTGAGAAGGGGAAAACCTCATGAGTTTAGACTGAATTGATAAATGAATTGTAGACATACAAACAAACATCTGTGGGTCAGGAGCAGCTAAACTGCATATAACGCTTTTTAGGTTCTGCCATAACTCCCTCCATATACATTAATTTATCCATCTCAAAATTTCTTTGTTATTCATTATTACTAGTAGTTTTGTAATACACAAAAATTCGTAACATTAAATAAATTAATATTTTTAACAAGATAATTTAGGGACTTTTAAAGTTGTTCTAAATATTCTTAGGCTCCTGAACCACATTGATAGCTTCTCAGATGAGAAAACAAAACGCCCAAACTTGAAGTCTGAATTTTTCCAGGAAACATGACAATTCAAAACTGAAGCCACTCTGAGTAGAATGACAAGTCAGAGGCTCAAAGTTTTACTCCAATAAACCTCCCCTATAGGGAACTACCGTAGATTAGAAAGCAGCATTCATCCTGTTCCTCTGATCTTTTTATACATCTCTGCAGGAATTTCCAGAAAGAAGAAAGATAAAGAAATTGAACAGTTTGGTTCATTTAGTGCTTTAGAAGAAATGGAAATGTAATATCAGCTCTACCATATGTCTTCTGAAACAAAAAAATCAAGAAAAAGTGGGTAAGGCTTATTTAGCGTAGTATGGAGTAAGAAAAGGATTAACCAAATTGGGAATTATTAAAAACAAAACCAGCAGTAATCACTGCATTGAGGAGAGAGAGAGACGGAGGCATAAGTTAATGAAAAAAATACCATTATGATATGTCAGATGCTGAACTAAACCAATTTTTATTTGAAAGAAAATGTCTTACAAAGCTGAATTTGAATGCGTGTCTTGCAGAATAAACTGTCATGCAAGACCAGGCACTCCCTTTTTTATTGTGTAAGTTGTTTGGGAGCTGTACTGCACTCCAAAATACAAACATAATATCCCACTGTGGGATT